GTCAAATTAATGTTTTGGTTTCCTAGTGCACATAAAAGTTGTATTTACACTATAGTACAGTCTGGTAGGTGGGTAATAGCATCATTTAAAAATATTTTATTGCTAAAAAACGCTAACCATCATCTGAGCTTTCAGTGAGTCACAATCAGTGATCACAGATCACTATAACAAATATAATGAAAACGAAAAAGGTTGAAATATTGTGAGAATTACCAAAATGTGACCCAGAGATGTGAACTGAGCAAATGCTGTTGGAAAAATGGCCCTGATAGATTTACTTGATGTAGGGTTGCCACAAACCTTCCATTTGTTAAAAAAACAAAACAAACAACAACAACAAAAAACACTATCTGCAAAAAGCAATAAAGTGAAGTGCAAAAAATGAGGTATGATTGTATTTGGTCTTTGCCCTCAGTTCTAAGCACAGAGCTTCAAAACTCTTAGAATTTCCTAAGCAACATGGAGTCTTTACTGTGCTGAGGTGACTCATGGGTGGTGGCCCCTAGATAGCTTCAGGGTAGGGTCTGGCCACCAAACAAAACTAAGCCCATGATTAGAGGGTCAAGACTCAGCTGGGCAGCCTTCGGGGAGTTGAGGTAGACTGGAGATTGAGTTGAATCATGTGGCCACTGGTTTAATCAATCATGCCTGTATAATGAAACTCTAATAAAAACTCTAGATGTGGAGGTTCAGGGGCATTTTCTGGCTGATGAAGGCATAGGTATATAGGGACAGTGATGCGTCCTGACCCCACAGGGAGAGGGTATGGAAGCTCTGCATTTGGGACTCTTCCAGATCTCACCCTACATGTATCCTACATAAAAAACAAAATTATAATTGTAAGTTATAGTGCTCTGCTGAGCTTTTTGAGTCATTCTTGCAAATTATCAAACCTGAAGGGGTCATGCAAACTTCCAAGCATACAGTCAGAAGGACAGGAGGCCTGGGACCCCTGAAGGGCAGCTGGAGTCTGAAGTGAGGGCAGTCTTGTAGACAACTTTGCCCTGAACCTGTGAGGCCTGGGTGAACTCCAGGTGGTTAGAGTCAGAACTGTATACCCTTTCGGGGTGGAATCAGAACAGGAAAAGACTAATGTCTTAGTAGCCTCTGTGCATACATCAGGAACTGCATAAATACAGGTTGAACTGAGAAGAGTTGAGTTAATATTTTTTACTCATATGAATGTTGTTATTTCTTTGCTCTTCCTTTGATTTGGGGCAACCCCTGATAACTGGTAGTCTTGGTGGAAGACAGAGCCTGACTTGTACCGCAAATGCTGACAATGTCTGTTTCTCTGTGGCTGAGGCAGGATCACATGAACTCAGCTCAGCCAATCCTATGCACACATCTTGGATTTTGAATCAGGAGCAAATCTCCCGATTGAAGCAACATGCAGCTTGCCAGAGCAGCAATGATGCCAGTAGCGGTGTGCAGCAGCTGTATCATGCAGACAAGCTTTAGTAACTAGTGTTTTGGCAAGAGAGCAGACATATCCTCATCCACCTTTTCCTATGGGGTGATTTTTTTTCCCCTCTTTGGTTGAGGTTTTGTTCATTTGTTTTCTTAATTCTGTTTTGTTTTCTGTAGCATCTTGGATTTCTACCCTTTCATAGTTATTCTTGAAATTTTGCCATGCATATGTAATTTCTGAAGTCTTACTTTGAAATCTGGATGCCTGTCCTTGTAGAATAAAAGGGCCTTAGAAGACTTACACTTGAATCATTCCTCTTGACTCCAGTGTTCTCTGTCTTATATTTTAGATCAGTCCTTTATTTTTAAACCTACACATTAGCCATTTACCATTGTTATTATTATTATTATTACTATTAGTTACAAATAGTGCTAGTTTAGAGTTTATCTTCAGAATCCCTATTCTTTCTTGCATTTTACACCATCTTTCTGGGACTAATTTTTCTTCCTTCTGAAAGATATGTTTTACACATTCTTTTAGTATTATGTCAGTTGGTGGTAAACTCTTGGTGCTTGTTTTTAATGAAAATGTCTTCATTTCATCCTTTTTCTTGAAAAATAATATTTCTGGGTACACATTTCAGGTTGACACTTTTTTTTGCATTTTGAAGATAATCACTCCACTGTTTTCTGGCTTTTATTATTTTTGAGGAATTTACTCTTAGTATAATTATGTTGTCAATATTTGTGGGTAATCGGTCTTTTCTCTTTGGCTACTTTAAGATCTTGTCTTAGTTTTCTGAAGTTTTACTACATGTGTAGGTGTGGGTTTTGTTTGTCTTTTCTTGGTATATTTTATACTTTTTTGTGGATTCATGTATTTCGTCAATCATGGAATAGTCTCAACCATAATCTCTTTGAATATTGCTTCTCTTTCATTCTCATTATTCTCTCCTTGTGGAAATTCAATTAAACATATGTTAGAATACGTCATTTATTATCCATACTTTTTAATTTCTTTTTTCACTTCCTTGTCCACCTCTTTATGCTACTCCTTTGAATAATGTCTTCAGGTCTATTTTCTAGTTCACTAGATTTCTCTTCATTGTCCCTAAATTGTTACTAAATTTCTCTCCATTTTCCCATGCATATGTGAATTTGTGTGTGTGTGTGTGTGTGTGTATTTCACATACCACACAATTTGCCCATTTAAAGTGTACAATTCAGTGGGTTTTAGTATATTCACAGAGTTGTACAATCATCACCACAATCAATTCTAGAACCTTTTCATGACCCCTAAACCAAACCCTACACCCATAAGTCACTCCCTATTTCCCCCAATTCCCCTGCACCCACCCTAGGCAACAACCAGTCTACTTTATGTCTCAGTCGATTTGCTTCATCTGTGTATCATACAACATGTGGTCTTTCGTGAATGCATTTTTCATGTAGCATAATTCTAAATGGTCTTTTAAGTCATCTGTTGAATTCTTCACTCAACAGTCATGTTTTAAACTTCTATAGGCTCCATTATTCCCTTTTTCAATGTATCCGATCTTCTGAGTCTTTTTTTTTTTTTTTTTGCTTATTTTTGTGATTGGCTTTACTTCTTTAAGGATTTCATATATAGTTAAAATTTCCTGATGATATCTAACAGAGTGATCTAGAATCTCAAGATTCTAAATCTGCTTCTGCTGATTCTTATCAGGATAGTTTGTTTCATTGCACATTTTGGTGATATTTGATTGGAAACTACTGTTCAGTTTATCTGAGTTTGTGGAAAATCTGAGGGTTTAAATCCTCAAGAGAAATTGCATATGCTTCTGCTGGGAATCAGGGGTGCTAGAAACTGCAGGATCCCCTTCCAAGTGGCTGGCTTAATAAGAGTCTTGGTTTCATCTCCATCCCCTTGCTGCTGACAATGAGATCATGGCATTTGCCTCACCTGCCTTGTATGTGTGGGCTCACCACCCACTCCTTCAGGCTGTAGCCCTTGGTCTGTGTGATGGGTACATGTACATGATGTGCTGTGTATGAGCTTTCCTCTACTATTGAATATTCAGGAATGCACAGAGGTTCTGCCTCATCTATTTTATCTGCAAGGGAGGGGTCCCTCAGAGCACCTAGTTTGTCAACCTGCTGCCACTTCCTTGGAAGCCCCGAGCATATTTCTGCCCTGCTTCTCTAGCTTTATTGGTGAATTGCGAGTCTCCCAAATAATCCTCTCAAACATTCCATTTCCCGTGTGAATCTCCAAAATCAGATTCTTTGTGCCTGCAACTGAGAAGACTGACTGGTAGAACAGCTTCCTAGTAATAAGAATTACATTTGTGAGCACTGGCAGTGTGCCCCACCCTGGTTTAAGGGCTTTACTTGTATTAACTCCCCAGTTATCACAGCCTTCCCATTTTACAGATAAGGAAGTTGAGGCACAGGAAAGTTGGAACCCACAGGTTACAACTGTTGGGGCTAGGAGGTGAGTCCGGGCAGGCTGGTTCTTTTCCATTCTCATGACTGCAAAAAGAAACAGAAGAACTCGGGGCCATCCAGGATTAGACAGAAAGAGTGTTTTGCGAGGAACAGGCTGCTGACACCCAGGAGCTCTGAAAGCCCTGCCCTGGCCTTTCTGGTACATTGTGTACAGCCCTGAGGCATGGCAGGGAGTCCAGAGATCTCTGAGCTTTCTTCTGATTGAGATAAAAAGTCCAAATTCTATCTCAGGAGTCATGAGTTTCCTTGACTGCATCTATGCAGACAGGCTGGAAAAATCAATGCTACAGTAGCTGCAAATGCGGGATTGGAGTGGTTTGGGGGCATTTTCAGCTTGAGTGCACAACTCCGAGAATAGACTTAAATGTCCACCTTTGACTTGATCCAATGGAGGCATGAAATTGATAGTCAAGTGTGAATAAACCGCTGGCTGTATTCTGAGCCTCTGAGTGACCTTGAAGTGGGGACTGGCATGTGGCAACTGCTTCAAGGAGGAGAGGTGGGCCATGTAATGATGTGACCTGGACCATGCCTCAGGTGGTACTATGCCAGGGTGTGTGTTCCCCTGATGAGCTATTTTCTTAAAAATAAATGTGTGTTATTTATCCTAATAACCATTTATCAAGAGCTTACCTTGAACCAGGCTCTATGCTTTGAAAACTGTTTTATAGACTTACCTACATTCTTGCTTTCCATACTTATCTCCTAAAACTCTTCAGAAAACAATTCTGAAACATCAGCACTGCCATCCCCCCACATCACGAATGAGGAAACTGGGGCTGGGGGAGGTGCCTTACCTGAGACCCCACAGTCAAAAGCACTGGGGGACATGGGAACCCAGGTCCTGGGCAGCAAAGTCCACCTCAGGGCACCCCTACATTCCCAGGAGTGTCTTCTTGGCCCCTTTTCATTACCACGCAGCCAGAGGGGCCACCTGGGGGGCAGACAAGTCCCCACCCGAGGACCAAAGGGTAGCCCTTCTCCAGGGTTCTGGCCATGTGGATTTGGCCACCAAGGGGCCTGTGCACTGGGTTACTTAGAGCCACAGAAGCAATCCCCTGGGCCCTGACCTCCTCAGTCTGGGCTTGGTGGATACTTACCTTCACTGCTTCCCAGCTGGAATTCACAAGGTGCTGCCGGAAGGGCCCAAAACCTGAAAGCAAAGAGAACCAGATTTTCTCAGGCTTGCAGGGAGGGTGTATCTATTCCCAGGCTGCTTCCTGCACCCACTGTGGGAAGGTCCTGCTGCTCCCATGACTATCGTGTGCTCGTAGGAACTCCACATATCCTCCTTCTTGTGGAGGCCTGCAATCTTGCCAGTCTGGAAGCATCTTTAGAGTTCTCTTATGTCTGGCATTGTGGGAGAGCCAAAAAGGAACATGGGCCTGACCCAACCCTGAGCTACGAGGGCTTGAGTGAGTGTGCACAAATCTCCAGTTAAAATGCATGCTGTATAGAGAGCCCAGAAGTGCACCCACATGAATACGCCCAGTTGCCTTCTAATAGAGGTGCAAAGGCAATTCATGGAGGAGGGATAGCATTTTCAACAAATTGGGCTGAACAATTGGACACCCATAGGCGAAAAAAAAAAGATCCGCTCAGATTCTTAAACTGTAGAATCTGTGTGGGTCTGGGATGGTGCTGGAGATTCTCTGTTCCCACAAGCTTCCAGTGGTACTGATGATACTGGTCCTCAGACCACACTGAGTATTGAGGCTTTGAAGGACGAGGTTCAGAATACTTTAAAGAGAAGAGAGCAGGTGGGAGGTGGTTGGGGGAGACTCCTAAAGGAGGTGGGGCGGAGCCAGGATTCCATGGTGGGGAGGAGGCACAGCAGCTGGAAGGGTGGGGCGCTGCTGTCAGTAGGGGTGGGCCTGGCAAGGTGAGCCCCCAGAGTGACACCCTCGTTGGGAAGGCCTCATTCTGGGAAGGAGCAAGCACCAGGGCTACTGGGTGAAGCTCGCAGATGGAATGGGACGTGCCTTGAACTGGGAATACTTATTTACACTGTGTACTATTTCACAATTTAATTGTCATGACGATTTCTGATAAAAGGCCATTGAGGAGACGTCTGTTTGGGGAGATCAGCAAACCTCTCCGGGACTAGCTTAGGAAAGGCTTGCTGCTGGTCTGGGGAGAGGTCACATCTTGGGACTCTGTCGTCCTCTCCGTGTTCTGGCTGCTTTACCTGCACCATGAGGGGCCTACATGGAGCCCACCCCCCTCTGCATGGGGGGACAGTGGAAAAACACCCGGATGGAAGTGAGGAGCATCCAAGACCTCAGAGTTTGGGGTCAGGCTTCACGTTTTGCACCTCAGCCCCGCCGCTTACTAGCTGGGTGACCTCGAGCACGTTACTTGGCTTCAGTCCCTTGGTTTACTCATCTGTGAAATGGGGACTAGGCATAGTAACCTAATTGGGTTGTTTTGAGGAGCAAATGAATGAATAAAATAGAGCATTTGGAACACTGCTTGGAGCAGAGAAAGCGGCATGGAGTGTTGGCCTTCTCTGTTGCCATAGTTACATACCCCCAGGATGGTAGGTCATAAAATAATGCATGTATGGAAAGTACTGGGCAGTTTTCGGAACTGGTTGGCGCCCATAAATGCTGACTGTTTTTCCACTGTCCCCCCATGCAGTGGGGGATGGGCTCCATCTAGGCCCTGCCTGTGCTCTGATTCTAATGACCTGAGACTGCCATTGCTCAGTCCCAAAAGCCCACCTTGGGCACTGAAGCCATCAGCCAGGCACACCCATCCTTACCTTTCCATGATGAGATTGCACCTGTGCTTTAGGCCTCTTATTTCTCTGCAGAAAGAGAGCCCTGTGTTAATCAGGGTTCTCCTGAGAAACAGAATATACATATAAAAAGATTGATTATCAGAATTGGCACAGGCAATTATGGAGGCCAAGAAGTCCCAGGGTCTGCTGTCTGCAAGCTGGAGAACCAGCTGCCAGGGGGTCAGAAAAGACAGGTACCCCCTTATCAGTCAGGCAGAAAGAGAATTCAACTTTTTCTCTGCCTTTTATTCTGTTCAGCCCTCAGTGGATTAGACGATGGCCACCAATGTTGGGGAGGGCCATTTACTTTATTAAGCCCACCAATTCAAATGTGAATATCTTCCAGAAACATCCTCACAGACACACCCAGAAATAATTTAACCAGTTATCTGGGCACTCAGAAACCCAGTCAATTTGACAGATAAAATTACCCACCACAAGGCCTAAAGGATGGTGTAGCTCAATACTCCAAGCCTGTGAGGTTTCTTATTTCATTTCTTCAGAGTAGCCCATGTACAGAACTCATTGGTCCCCTCCAGGACCTGTAGAACAGGCCAGCCGCTGTCAGATGGACCTATGACAAGCCAGAGGCTTGCTTCTTAGCAGGTAGTGGGCTGTAGGTAGAGCTGGCATTCTCCAACTCAGCTTTGTCTGGGACACAATCGAAACTTTGCATTTCACCTATCTGGTTCCTGGGATGTACTTCTAAGTTTATACAAATTCGGAGATGGAGAAGATCTGTAATTAAATATCAACCTCTGAAACCTGACTCCCCAGACCTTAGGCCTATAGAGGAGGAGCTGGTTCTGGAGAGGATGGTGCCCTTGAAGTTCCTGAATCTCTGGATCTAGAACCACTAACAAGTGTGGATCTCAAGGGGGTAAAACTTTCTCAGGTAATGGGGAAATTTTGGACAAGATGTCCTGACACAAAGAAGTGAGTAGTGTCCTCTGACATTGATTGAATCTTATAGAATAAATAAGACTAGTTGCACTGGGAGCAGCCAGGAAAAAGAAGTTTTTAGAAAATACTGAGACTAAGGGAAAAAAATCACTGAGAAACCAGGTACTCCCAGATGGTTGTAGGCATACTAAAAATGCAGTGACACATTCAAAAAAATTACATTCTGCTTTAGAATCACATTCAAATCAGCATATTCAGATGATCTCTTATCTGTTTTAAATTAGGGAAAATAACGAGGCAAGTGAAGGTCTGAAGCTCTTGTTTTGCAGGGTCAAATCATATATTTTAAACTTGGCAGGCCCTTGAGTGGAACTTGCAGAAGGGCTGGAGGAATCTCCGGCAATCAGAGAGGCCTTCTGGAGGGATGCAGGTTTTCTGTACCCCATCGTTATCCCTGGTGCCCGTCAGAACGCTTGATCCTGAGGCAGAGCCCTTGGTCTCCCACCATCTGTCTATGTGCCAATTGCCTTGGTGAGATTTACGCACAAAGCAAATCCAATTAAATGAAAAGATGGCCCCTGGCAGCTCAGAGCATTTGTAATAAAGGTAGGCCACACTCTGCCAGCCAGTGGGCATTCCCAAATCGTGGCTGATTATCAGGTACTTCATCAAACAATCTAGAGTTTGCCAGCAAGCGACAAGCTGGCAGGACGGGCAGGAGTCACTGGGAGTCTCAGACTTGCCACTGTGCTTCGATATTCGTATTTCATTTGTGACAAGTGGTATGTTTACTGGGGGTACAGTTTCCTTAGGAATTCAAGAGTAATTTGAACCATTTGACCTCTATACCCAAAATAACACCAATGAGAGCGAGGGAGATAAAAGATTTCAAAAGAACCTTCAGTTTGTTACGTACATGGGAATCCTTATCTCTTCTATGTTTCCTTTATTTAACACCATTCAAAAGACTTAAAATATGCCAAATGTGCCTAACTAAAATAAAGAGAGATCTGTGAAGAAATCAAAGCCCCCAGGGACCAGCTGTGACAATGACTGGGGGTGGCTGGTGGTAGGTGTGCTGGTTGACAAAAAAGGCAGAAGTGGGTGGCAACTGTTCCTTCTGAGTTGACCTTTTGGGGTTCAGAGTCCCCAACTGGTGGCTCTCAGGGGTGCTTCCATAGCCCAAAGCCCACTCTCCAGTCTGGGTGTGGGGGCTGTGTGCTCTTGGGGGTGATCATTTTAGATGGATGGTCTCAGCCTTACGAGGGTCCCCTTCCCTGCTACGTAACTGCACCCCAGTGGAGGCCGCCAGCCTCTGCTTCCTGCCTGATGGGCTGAAGGACAGGGTCTGAGCCTGAGCCACATGTGCCTACCCCACATATGCCACTCAAAAGTTATTTGAAGTGCACAGTGGGACAGAAGCTGAAAAGCCTCTCTGTCCTCTGATCGTTTTTTAATAGGGCATAGCAGGAAATTAGTTTCCATCTGGAATTATTGGCACCACCAGTTGCCACTCTTTTTTCCCCAGGAGGGAATTGCTTAGGACCAGGATCAGGCAAGGGCACATTCCATGGTCAGGCTAAAAGCAGCAGCAAATGAGAAAGCAGAAACATTGTCTTACCGGTCACTACCACGCAGTGAGACGGGGAATCCATGAAACCTGAGTGGGGAGTGTGGCCGCGCCTGTGTGGTCAGCCAGCCGGCAGCCGGGCCTTGGGCGCTCGGAGTGCTGGCTGCTCTGCCTGGCAACTGGTGGCCTCAGGCTCCTGTGGAGAGGCCCCCAAGAGGCTGAAGACTCTGAGGTGGGGGCAGGGTAGTAGGATGATGCCCCTTGTAAGCAGAACTGGCTGGCTCAGGACACAGAGGCTGCGGGCAACAGGCAAGCAGAGGGTTGGAGCACCTCCAGGGACTTCTGGCCATTTGGACCTGGGTCAGTTTGTTGCTTGGTATGGGTTGAAAGTGAACCACGAGTTTGGCGAACAACTGTCCTGGTTTGCCTGGGACTGAGGGGTTTCTGGGTTTGTGGGGGGAAGCTGTGGTGGAGGGGGCATGACGGAAATGTGCTGAGACTGGTACAGTCCTGGCAAATGAGGATGGTGGGTGACCCTACCAGCTGTTTTTAAAGACCTTGTTTGGTCATCTTTCCTAATTCCACCTCCCCCAGAATTCCTTGGTGTTTTGGCCATTATGATTTGGTGGAATTTGGTTGTCCTGAAACTGATTCTGCAAAATAGTAGTGGGGAAAAAAAAGAAAAAGAAAAGAAACCAAAAAGCACAGATGAAGCTATGGTAAAAGGGCTGGTTGGAAACACCTGCTGCCTGTAAGCGGCAGGTCCTCAGGCAAGTGAACCTCTCTGTGCCTGGTTCCCCTTTCTGTGAAGTGGGGGTGGGCACAGCCCTGTCTTCATGAATGGGGCTTGCTGAGTGGCAGGCACCGTCCCACCCCCACAGCCCCGAGGGGCGGAGGCTCACACAGCTGGCTTCCCAGGCTCTGCTCCACCACCCCGCATTCCACCTGCCACATGTGCTTCACATGGTGCTTGACCGACCACAGGCACCACTCAGTGTTGGCGGTGTCCTTCCAGCCCTGGCTCTGTGTGCATGTCTCTGCCTGTTTAATTGTGTCTGAGTAACCAAAGAACTAATATTTGAGATCGGTTCCTCTTTTGAAGAAGCCATGTGTGGGGAAAATGGAAGTTCCTAAGGCAGGGATCCTCACCTGAACCTAAACCACTTAATGATGTAACTGGCCTGCTGCTAGGCTACTGCTCCCACACCCTAGGCAATAAGCTATTACTGACTGAGTTGCTATATAAAGAGCTCTGCCCAGCGCTCTGGGTAGAGTCAGAGAGGAAAGAGGATTACAGACCTGCAGACTCTTGGATGCAGACATAATTCTAGTATTTGACCTACCACCGTGGGAATAAAGCTGGGTAATAATCCTTTTACCCCAAGAACATTCCACTGTCATTCCTTGGTCGCACTGAATCTACAGTGAACTTGTCTGGGGCTGAAACTCTCAGGCAAGACACCATGTAATGCAACACTTTGACCTTTCAGAATATACTCTTAGAAAAAAAGTTTTTAAATACTCTTTTAAGATGCTGTCTAACAAGAGGTATCAAAAATGTGATTCTCTTTTCCCATCTGGGCACAGCCATGAGAAGTGCCATCCTGGGGAAATCAGTAGAGCTCCTCCAGGGCCACACTGGTTCCCCAGGTTTAGAGTACCCTGTATTAGAGAGCACGAGCATGGGGTGCCACCTTCTTAATTGGTCCCCTGATAAAAAAAGAAACAAAAACTTAAATCCCCTTCCCCCCTTAATTGGGATCACCGCCAAGGACTGGTCTCCACCTGATGCCTCCTGGATGCTGAACCAAGGGCCATTCCTTTTAATTGGTCCCTGGTGTGGGTTGCAGGCTTATTTACAACAGAGAACAGGTGGGAAATGGCATTTGCTTCCCAGTGGCCTTCCCCTGCCTGCTCTGGGAATCTGGGGCTCCCTTGTTTTGCAAGGACTCAGGAGGCTTTGCATTTCACCTTATTTTGAGATTAAAGTAGCCAAGACAAAAATTCAGGTTTGAAAGCAATTCCCCAGTTTCTGGTACCCACTTGGGCACTGTTGATGTTATCTTAACCCACCTCTGGTGACTGGCTCCCCTGGTTTATAGCACTTACCTATTCTTCTATCAGGAGGGCTTGGCTTGCCCATTGCAGTTATAAATGAAGAGATCAGACCAATGGAAATGCCCACATTTGTAAAGCTGGTTGCTGCTAAGGTCAAACTCTGATATCAACATTAATGGGCTCTGGGTATCTCCCTTGTGTTTACTAAAGTTAACTTATTATTCAAAATAGGCTCCTCAACTGCTAAGACAACCAGTTTTTTAAAAAATTATTAATTTTTATTTTTTATTTTGGTATCATTAATCTACAATTACAGAAGAACATTATGTTTACTAGGTTCCCCCCTTCACCAAGTCCCCCCCACATACCCCTTCACAGTCACAGACAACTAGTTTTTAACCATGCTACTTTTCTGATAATGCAGCTGCAATTTTTATTTTTATTTTTTGAGGATTCAACATGAGCCATTTTTATTTTAACGTAAACTGGACTGTGTCCTGGAATTTTCAGTTTAGGCACTTTTTGCTTTAGGCACCATAAGGTACTTATATTCTGATGTCCTATCCTTTCCTCTAATTTTGCAATTAATAAAAAAGAAAATGAGATGCAAAATGTTTAGCCACCATGACATGTTTATGATTGGAGTCATTCTCACCCAGAAAAAACAAATATTCTCACTCTCTAAAAATGAAAACAATTCAGAAAAGTATGGATTTTGAGGTCTGACATCTGCACTTTTCTTTTTTTATTGTAAAAACAAAGAGTCTTTAACAATGGCTGATGTCAAACACAATCTTTAGGCTGATGAAATACAGTAAGCCTGAGAACAAATAAGGCAACTTAAGAGAGATATTTTACTTAACACAAAGCACGGTGATCTTCCTTATTAGCTCACTTCCCCAGAGGAATATATTTACAATCATATTTGACTTTGGGATTAAGAGGGCAAGTGCGACTCTTTGTCACTGAACCTGAAGGCCAGCAACAGTGCACACGTGTTCTCACCAGGGATGATAAATGTTGGTCGCAATATCCCAAGACCAAAAAAAGATTTCAAGTTTTGAACCAGACATAAAACTTTGTGGGATTTGTTTTAAATTTCTCATTGGCAAATTGTGACTTCCTGCTTAGGCAAGAAAAGGGATTAAAAGTGTTTGTTTATTGTCTCTGACACGAACAGCTTTTACAAAACATTTTGTACACTTGATAAAATTTAACCATACTGGTCAAATTCCTCCTGGGAGGTGGAGAAAATCAATAAGTAAGAAGCGCTTGTGATTAAAATAGCAATAATACCAATACTAACAACAACAATATTAGCACTCTTCTGTCAACTATCTCTGCTTCCAGATCAGCTATTTATCTCTAAGCGTAAAACAGAACTCTCAACCCAACTGCCTCTTGTCAAAGCACTAACAGATTCTCTACAACTGTCTCTCTTCCAAGGTAGCCTTTGGGACTCACCCGCCCCTACTCGTTGGCTCTGCCAACTTAATATTCCAACAGGAGCCAACACACAATTTCTGTAAAGAGCTGGATGGTCAACACTTTACGTTTCTGGGCCACGTGGTCTCTGGCAACTCTTCAGCTTTGCCATTGCTGTGTGAAAGCAGCCTTGGATGATATGCAAATGAATGGGTGTGGCTATGTTTCAATAATTATTTATTGGATGCTAAATTTGGAATTATATGAATATAATGCCCACAGGTCACAAACTATCCTTTTTCTTCTGATATATTTTCAGCTCCGTGTAAAAATGATTCTTAGCTCACAGGCTGTGCAAAAATGAGTGGTGGCTGGATTGGGGCTGTGTGGCCTGTTCTGCCAACTCTGGTTGTTGGCCAAACTCCATATGTACTACAGTACAATTTCTCCCCTGTAGGAAACATGATGTGGCTGGTGATAAAGTAACCTTATGGTGTACATGACAAATGTCCTGTTAAATCAGTAAGAAGATTTAATGTCAAGATGAAGATTCAGTGATTCAGAATGTACCATTAAAAAACCCACTGCTTGCTTTGTTTTGTTAGACTCACCTGGTGGTTAAGTGAGAAGAGCATTCTGAATAAAGGTAGCGAGTGTTTTCCGTTTTCCAAATTATAGTATTGAGGATTTTTGACTACTGTGGAATGAGCTCACTGAATTAGATATTGATGAACATTTTCTTCTGGCCTCCTGATATGTGATTGCTGGTGGTCCTCAGTGAGATTGGGCTCCAACATGCAGGCGAGGAAGGACCCTGGAGCTGTACTTTACCTTTTGGAGGTTTCAGATGCCATATATTCATGTTTTTAACCTTCCTACTAAAATATAGCTCTCAAATGCTTATGGCATTTACTTATTTAAAAATGTAGAATGTGAGGCTTTCTTACCACTCTGCAACAACCATTAAGAGCTGTTTTAAAACAATCAGGAAATTGGTATGCTTGAGATCATATAACACTATGATTATCTTCAGTATTCCATGGGAAACTGGTATAGAAGATATGTTTTTTTATAAGGTGTTTTTTTAATTAGGTATCATTGATATACACTCTTACGAAGGTTTCACATGAAAAGCAATGTGGTTACTACATTCATGCATATTATCAAGTCCCCCCCATACCCCATTGCATTCACTGCCCATCAGTTTAGTAAGATGCCACAGAGTCACTACTTGTCTTCTCTGTCCTACACTGTTTTCCCCGTGATCCCCCACACCATGTGTACCAATCCCCTTCTCCCTCCCTCCCCACCCAACCTTCCCCATCCCTCCCCTTTAGCAACCACTAATCCCTTCTTGGAGTCTGTGATTCTGCTGCTGTTTTGTTCCTTCAGTTTTGATTCATTGTTATACTCCACAAATGAGGGAAATCAGTTGGTACTTGTCTTTCCCTACCTGGCTTCTTTCACTGCACAAAATACCCTCTAGCTCCATCCATGTTGTTGCAAATGGTAGGATTTGTTTTCTTCTCATGGCTGAATAGTATTCCATTGTATAAATGTACCACATAGAAGATACTAAGTTTTTATAATTTCATCTAAAAATTATGAAGCAATAGCTTGAAAATTAGAGTTTTAAAATTTCTGGCAATCTGCTATAACATATGATAAGGTAATATTTTCCCTTCATATTATAAGAGAAAGCTTTGCTTATATTTTCCCTTCTATTTTTTCTAAACCTTGATTTTTTTCTTCTTTTAGGGTATCTCCTTCAGTGAAAAATAACAATTGTTGCAACAGGAATTTGTTTACTTATTAAAATCCAGTAGCTTTCTAGCCTTTTTCTTTAAAGAGTGGATTTTTCTTGCAAATTTCACAAA